GCTTCAATTGCCAGAGTTGGCTCCACAATTGGACTGCCCTGTTGCAATTCGTGAAGAGCGAAACTCAGTTAGTTGCGCTAAGCGTGAGGTGGCTGTTTCTGATGGACTGTTTCCATCTTCTTCTCAGGAAGAATAACCACAAAAGAACCTTCAACGGAAGAAATGGAAGAGAGAATGCCCCTGAAGAAGAGCATCAAGATGGCCAAGCTCGCAGAGGAAGAAGGTAGATTTCATGACTGCTAGAAGGAGTGGCAATAGAGCACTGCCTCAAGAGAACATAGATGTACTCCTACGACCACGACACGAATGCTTAGAGCTGGTGATTCACATGTTTTAGTCTTTGTTTCGTTTCGTTTCTAGCTTAGGTTCTAGGCAGCCTTTGGACCTAGTAGTAGAATTTCGTTAAACGTTTTACCAGATTGGCTTGGGTATCTAGGCCAACTCATTGTAAATCTATCTCCACAGAGCCTTCCAGCCTTCTGTCTTCGAAGATGGTGGCATGCAAGATAACATTGATGATGACCTCAAGGTCAATAGAAGCATGTAAGCTTCCAACTCGAGCTCATTGAAATGCTGATGATGCAATACAAAACTAGCCGGAATTGGCATTGATGCCTTACAATAGCTACGTATTACTCATACGAATCTAGTTGACGGATAATGTCGCTTGTGAGACTCCAGATGATCAACCTTCACTGATGTTATGCAATTGGTTGTTGCTGGCAGCGTTTTGCCACCTGGTTTCTTGGCCACGGCACCTGTCGAGATTCAAGAATCTCTCGAAGTCAGTAGCTCAACGCCTTGCGGTGGCAACTTGTAAGTTTCCTAGCTAGCTCTTTCGCTGGCTCGTTCAGCAATTGAATTGCAAAACAAGCAGAAGAAACAGCCTTCTATTGACAATCTAGGCTGCAAATTTGATCCTTATGAAGGCCATGATGCCGTATGTCTGATATGATCATTGCTTTTGAGATGAGCCTTGATGGACGATCTCTCAACGACCCCAGGTGGTCATGGATCGCTGATGGTTCATACATTGCCTTGCTGGCAGTACTTTATTTAGTATCACTCCTACTGATTTAAGCATATTGACTGCTGGCAGCTTCGTGCCTCCAAACTCGGCAGAAAGGCCCACAGTCTTTGATGACGAACGAGAGAGCTTCGCCAAGTCAAAGGCTTCAGAATTACCCCCCGAAAAGATGAACGAAAGAAAAGGCGCTGATGCCCGGCTTTGCGAGAACGAAGAAGCAGAAGATCTCCTTTCTCTTCCGGATTATGATGCCGACGAGATTGAGATAGATCTCCGATCTGATCCGCTGGAAGACGCTGCTGAGTCTTCAGAGCTTCAGCGTAGCTCGCTAGCTCAACTTTGCACTGAAGAGAATGTGAGCAACCTCCAAATGCGGGAGCCTCTGGCCCCTGATCCTACCTTCCTCAGATCAGGAGTAGAGCAGGTCCTAGCAGAGTTGCAAGTTATGGCTAATGGCTCAGCGGTCATTGACGAGCTAGCAGACGTTGATTGGATCCAAAACGTCAACTCCCACGTTCTCGACTCGGAAGAGTTTGTCGCCGGCTCCTTCAATAGCCATGCTGCGGCTTGGGAGAAGCTCACAGAGAGTTCTTCTAGAGCCTCAACGAAGACGGTCATAGGCATTATCAAGAACGGCCTAAAACCGTCTTTTGTAGGGACTCAAGACGCTTCAGATCAAAAGCGAAAGCGGGTGGTAGGAATGCTCAGAAGAGTGGTGCGGAAGGAAGAGATCTCGAAGCTCCTTTCAGGTCGGTTGCCGCACCAGATCGAGTTTCCCAACCACAAGTCTGCAGAAGATAACGCAGAATTCGTCTGGGACCAGGTTCGCAACAACATAGTCTCTGGAGCAGTCGAGCCCTACGCAAAAGGCAAGAAGCCTAAGGTCGTCAATCCAGTCGGAGTCGTCTTCAACCCGAAAGGCAGGCTCATCCTCGACGCTCAGTACCCCAACCTGTTCATGAAGCGCTTT